AATGTGCATGAAGTTATTGATGCAAATTGAATTAGTAAGTGGCATTTTGAAAACAATATACATTACACAAAGACATGCTAATAATCATCACATCATTACATCTTGCAGTTCTTGTGTGGCCTTGAAGTGCAAAACCTGATAATTCAAGCTGATCCAAATACCTTTGAGATGTGGAAGCTCAAGTTTGGCCTCAAAGAGCTAACAGAAGATATAAAGAAAAAAATAACATCCTTTAATATCTTGAGGTTACCCAATGCAGTTAAACTATACAAAGACTTGAACACACTAGCTAAAGAAGCAGGTGATCTTTTCTCCCTTCTATGCAATTATTTTATGTCACCCCTCCCACCAACTTTTTTACTTCACTCTTATGTTTGAATGTTTCTCTTCTACAGAGGCTAATAAAGACAACGAGAATCACAATGCCCACCAAACAAGAAATGATCAAGCGGAGACACCATTGATAGACTTGAATAGTGACCCACACTAATTTTTCTATAATGGAGTTATCATAATATCGATGAATCTATCCTTTATCCATTGTAACATCTGAGAGCAATTCAATACAAATATTCTCATTATTTCTCAATATTGTAAAACAAGAATAATTGCTTTTACTAGTCTTATTTTTCCTGATACAATGGCCACTGAGACCACCCTCTTCTCAATCTCAATCAACTTTGATTGAATTCAATTTTAAATCCAATCTACCTATCAAGCACTTGGCTTCTAATTATCCGACATGGCCAAAACAAATCATGCATCTCCTTAATGAAAATAACTTTATGGGCTATGTTTATGGTGAAACAGCCTACCCACATGAGAAAACCGGTTATTGTTGAACATGCCATTACCAACCATGCATATCTATATCTTCATTGATGTCACCAAGAAAACCATGTCTCCCTTGCCTTACAACCAGCCGTCGTGAGGCTTCAATAGTCATGTTTGATGTTAATGAAAACGCTACAAAAGACTTTTTCAAATTGTTCTCAAAGAGGGACTAGCTTCAATCACAAAGGGCACCTGTAATGCCCATCACTATCTTCATACAATCCAATTCATGGCTGATGAGTTCACTCGCATTGGTCATCCATTGAATACATTAAATTGGTGATTGTTACCCTTAATTGGTGATTGTTGCCCTTAAGTTCCTTTCCGTATAGTTCTTTCATCCAATGCACATCATCATACCACCATTTGGGACACCGTGGTAATAGGATTATTCATTGTGCTCTTAGACAAAATAATATCTACCTTATCTATTTCACTCTAGCGCTTGTTTACAACAAAATAAGGATTGTTGAGAATCACAATGTAATAATTATAGTTTGTGCATATAAACTAATTAAGGGAACAAAATATCCCCTATTCATGTATATTAAATGAAACATGCTTATATAAACATATTCAAAGTGTCATTCAAACACAGTTTCAGCATCTTATGCCTTTGTTTCTTTCTTTTAATATCATATCCAGAGTATGACAAAGGTACTTCAACCTATGCTTGCCCTGTGATCCCATTGTCCATGGAGATCAATTTTTTTTTGCGAACTGTGTACGACTCTAGTTCGACACACCACTCGTTGCACAACTTCCAACGACCAACTCTTATTTCAAGAATCAATTCTTCGTTGCCTATCATTATCACTTCAAAGACCATTCTGACTAGCAACCCAACTATTTAGAGCACCTTGTCCCTAGATCTACATGACACTAACGTTGCAAAAGGACTTACAACACCCATCTCCCATGTGCTAAAGAGCATTGCACTAGAGTGCATTTAAGGTGCATGTCGCCACCATTTCCAACACACTACCAATAACATGGTTGCCCCACTTTGGCAAACCAGTGCCAAGAATTTCATCCACTTCTGACACCGGTTTTCATTTGTTTGTGACTTTGCAAGATAATATGTGGTTTGTGGCACTTAACAAGTTTGTTTATCAATTAAATTTAATTAAAAGAAAGCCAGTTTCATTTGCACAATTTATCAATTATGACACATAATGAAAAATAGCATAGGACCCATGGGATTATTTATTTCTCATGCCCATACAAATTCATTAAATCTATAAAGAAATTTGTATAGTATTATAAGTTTTTTATAAAAAAATAATTTACTTTTAAAAAAGTGTTATTTACATAGATTTTTAATAATCTTGAATTAAAAATTCATTATTATTTCCCTAAAACATGTAATAACAAAAAATAGCATCCAAATGAATGCATGCGTCAGCAATAACAAACATCAATTAGCCATTACCTATAGTACCAATATAAAAGATATGAGTGGAAAATAATAGAAAATTATGGAGTTTATATAAAACAAGGTTATCACGTATAATTGAGACAAATGTGTTACATGTTTTTCAGCATTAAATATTTTCATTATTTTGATATTATTTTAATTGCTATAAATGATTAAAAATTATATGTTAGACAAGATATGATACAGAACTAAAATTACAGTGAGGGAATACCCTAAATTTGAATTTCAATACATTGATAATATCAATACAATGTACAGGGAAATAATAATTCAAAAAATCATGATAAATTATGCAAATACTAAAATCGGAACCTGCAGTCCAGCAAAATAAAGAGCGGGAAAGGCTGTATATTCTTCTTATTGATTCAGCTTCCATCTGGTCTTCAATTTTTGCCAGTATCCAATCCGTCATTTCTGTAACTATCTACTATCATGCTACAGTTATTCATTGTGCATGCATCAAGAAGACCATGATTCCAAAGTTTGATCATGAATAACCTCCAACACCTGCATAAAAGGACATTTAATTTTCTAAAAACAGAATTTCAATAAATACATAAGATGGAGTATAAAGAAAGACATAATTAAAGGAGAACTTAATAAACTAATGTACTATGAGTGGGTGATCAGATCTCAGAAAAAGATTACACAAAGAAAAATAAGACATGTCTTGTCATACAATTAATTGATGAATTCAGTCTATAACTAGTCACATTAATGTTATCAAGTACAGTGGATTGAAGGTAATTCTTAGATCATTCAGCGTGATTCCTTTTAGTAGGAAAACTACATAAAATTAGAGAAATATAAATGGCAGATATGAGTAAAAGGGCTACCAAAATAAAGCTGGACATGAAATCAGGTCTTTTCCATGAAGCTTGGAAAATGCCTCGCAGGCCCACGGAACATGACCATCTGCCAGCACCCTGCAAAAATATTGAAAATGTTTAACCAACAACAATAATTCACATGAAACAGAACGTTGATCTTATATATCATGCAAAACCTAATAAGCATACTAGGGTTACTAATGTGGGCAAAAAAAAAGTAAAGAAAGATTAATGTGGCTGCCAGCAATAGACACCTTTGCTTCCTCATAAAAGAGTTCCAGAGATGCATGAGTTGTTTTTCATCTTTGGAAACATCCACAAAATCATCAAGCATCTGCAACATTACAGTTCAACATTAAATTATCATGATTAACATTAGTTTGTTGCACTGCAAATATCCAATTGTAAACAGCACAAGAGCTTGAGGAGCAACTAGAATAAGGAAGGACTTTTATTGTAATTTTTTAAGACGAGAAAAAAGCATAAAGTCAGTAAAATTTGACTTGGCAATCAAGTGCAATGGTAAATTTAATCAGGATTCCTGCTCTTTACAAAATCTGCCCAGAAGTAACAAATCCAAATGCATCATTTTGACATAGACAAGAAGAAAAAGTGAAAAAGAAAAACAAAATTTGAAAGGCTATTCAAGCTTACCCTTCTATCTTCAAGATCAGCAATGTCGTCATCAACTTCATCTTCACTATCACGGTCTGATAACACTTGTTCTAGTGCCATAGGCTACAATTATCACACGAAAAAGTAAGATGGTGCTTAGGAACAAATCAAATATTGATAAAGCATTAAAAGAACAAGTCCACTATCAGAAGTAACATCAATGTTATTATAAAATAATGTTACATTTAATTAACTAGATGAAAATTACAAATACAAGAGAAATAAAATACATCAAAAGATAATCATTGTCCATCAAACTAAAAACATCACGTTCATAGATATGCCTATTTTAAAAAAAAAAATCAGATGAAGAGTCGAAAGAAATTCTATTATAAAACAAAGTATTCAATATGTATTTGTATTAAAAAAAAAAGTAATTACAGAGAATGAGCCAAGGCTCCCAAGCCAAAGAAGTAACTCAGGTCCAAAAATTCACAAGACGCAAGTCTGATACCCTCTCTCCTGTGTATATAACTACCTCAAGCAGAATACATAAAAATCAAAGGTTTCTACAAGTAACACATTACAACAGCCAGTGATTCACAAGTAGCAATTAACTTATATTTCATACACAAGCAGAATATGAAGCACAAATGGAAATTAAAAATTCAGAGATCTGAGATAACTACTCGCCTGGACTCTGTGTGAGTGAAAGAACTGTCTCTTCTGAAGAAGCATTCGGCTGGAGAAACAATATTGAAAATTAAAAAACTGAATCAAAAATCCACAAGAGGTATTTGGCATATTATTTTATATCATTCGATTAGAATGTTCCTAGAATTTTAATAAATAAAACTTAATGTTTCAAAAAAGACCTCACTCCTACCAGAAACTATACTTATTACACCTCACATGACATATAAAATACATATATTATAACAACAGCTACTAAAAAAACTGCAGAAATAAATAAAATAATAAAGAACTGAAAAATAGTTAAGTCTTCAAAAAAAATGGAAGTTTATATTTTCAAAAAACATAGATACAAAAAAACAAAAAGGTTCCGTGAACATACTTTCTTGAGTCTGATCGATCCATACTTAGCTTCCTTGTTTTAGCAGGCAGAGCAGGATCACTTTTACAAACTGATTTACTACATTCAGGGTCCACAGAAGATTGGGGCATGGCAATTGAAACACCTGGAATGTTGAAACTGGATTCAACATGATCCAGGTCATCCATTGTTCCAGGATGATCAGTACCAAACTTTCCACCATCATTTCTTCCATTAGGCAAAATCTTCTCATTACGAGATGTTCTAGAAACATTCTCCCCTTTGCAGGACAGGATATCTACAAATAACTTTAGAATTTCAGTCCCTCCAAATGAATATGTGAACCAAAGAATTATATAGACATTACTCGTAATTAACAAAATGGGAAAAAGTAGGTATTTACCCCTCCCTCCCCCTATATACTACACTAAAAAAATTCCATCAATTTGCACCCTTTTATTTTGAAATTCCATCCATTTGCACACATTGTGCGCCTAAATTGAAAAATTATATGAAGGCATCAAACTAGTCATCCATCCCAAGGGATTTTTGTGTGTCAGTGTCAGATAAATGAGAGCATATCAAAAGAACAGAAACAAAAAAAAAGGATCTGGAGTCATCCAAACAGCAACAGAAGAAAAAAGGAGAAATACACTTTACCTACCTAAATTTTTTGTTCAAATTAATTTTATTAAATCAGAAAATTAAAGTTTGTCCCCGTCATGTATCAGAATTACAAATTAACTTTTGAACCATTGAAGATTCAAGAATATTGTAGCTGTTAATTTTGATGAAACTGATAAAATGTTCATTTGCCTCTCCCACAATTATTTTCTTTCCTAAAAATCCACCAACAGTGTAAGCATGCATAGTTTTCCTTGTTCTATAGTTCAGGGCCAAAACTTATTGCATCTCCAACTTTTCTTTTTTCCAATTTATCTAGAGGGAAAAAAATCTCTAATACTAGCATGTTTTAAAGACAAATCTCAAATCATTTTGGTGAATTATGTGTGCTTGAGGCAAAATAAATCATTAAATGTCTCTAAATATGGCTTCTAGTTAAAGTCTAGGCAGGAATCAAAATAAAATTCATACCATCATCTTTTTGTAGAAATCCATTCTGTGTGCCATCTGGTGAGTCCAGCTCCAGGAATTTTACATTGATGTGCTTTTCATTTTGAACAGAGTCCATTCTTTGACGTTTTCGAGGCCTTGAACTGTACAATTTATTGTTATTGAATAATTTAAAGTTGGTAATCATGCTCAAAATTTTATGAATTAGTTAGTGACTGCTTTAAATAAATATAAAAACCAACCAGAAGGAGAAGGTTTGTGATTGTGCAATTACTCCATCAACAACATCCTGCACGCAGATAGATAGGTTTTAACAAAATAAATAATATAATTAAAAAATCATACATTTGAAATGAAGAAGGGAATTCAATCAATTTCTTTTAAAAAAGGAATTTTCTTCACTCAATCTTATTGAAATGACACACACAAGACAAATATTCTGTTGAATATTTCCAGGCATGTCAGATAAATGCTAGCCTACTAGGTCATTTAAAACACCATACGCTTTGTTCAGCCCTTGACCAATGCCTATAGGAATACATTGGGCAACTGGCACATTTTTCTGCAGGGGAAAAGTTAATTAGACAAACATGATCTACATCTGATCCAGGCATGTAAGATGCAGATCCTATATTAAAGTCAGATTAATTAGTTATTGTACTATGGCAGTAAGAAACATAGCACATATATGTTACTCAAATACATGACCCATTTTACACCCACCATTAATACTAAAGATGAAAACCAAGATAACCTCAACAACTGCAATCATGTTCAGCAATCCAACAGCATTTTTCTTAGATATCACCATAGAGACCAGATTCAATACAATAAGCATTCTATGAATCCGTCAGAAAGTGAAGACCTCGGTCAGGTCTATTCTATTTGAGAAAAACAAAAGTGTATCATTATGGTAGATCTGAACAAGATCTTTTATTTTTTGTTAATATTACCAAATGAAATGCTTTCTGTGATTTCAAAAACAGAATCTTTAGTAAACAATTTTCAATCTCTAAGTGAAATAAACCATTTACTATAAATCCAAATTAATGTAGGTACTGACCTCTGATCTCAATATATCAACTTTTACAGAGACATTAACTGCTTGGTAATCATCAGTAACCTACAAAATATAACAAGTATAAATTACAAGCCATTTAGAAGGATCAATATGTTAAAGCTTTATTTCAATTACAACTACTGACCCAGAACTCAAAGTTGAAAAGATCATGAGATGAACAGAGATGAAATCGCAAACCCTGCACAAATCAACTGAGATTGATAAAATTGCCAAACAGAATACTATTTTAAGCAATTATTAAGTAGATGGGATATGACATATTACCAATGATTAAGTAAAAGTTTTCAACAGAAAGTACATGTTATTTTATCGTAAAAACTTGAACATCCAAAAAAGAGTGTGGAAAACAATGCACCATTAATTTGTCCTGTTAGATTCTATCTCAAATTGGGGAAATATTTTCTAACAAAAGAAGAGGACATTCAGACTTGCAAAAAATATTAAACCTCCCAAGTCTATTCATTCAATATTTACATATTAAAATTTTAGCACCAAAAAAGAATATTACATAAACCACTAAAAGAAGATAATACTTGAGGTTTGAAAGTTTGAATAAAAATCTGGTGTGTCTATGTACACCTCCAGATCTGAATATTATGTATATATGAGAGAGAAAATACAAAAGAAAGGTGAGAGGGATGACCACATCTCCCTTGGTACAGCAGCCTTGTACAGAGGCAAAAAATATGTAAAATACAAAATATATATATATATCTAACAACATATAATCTAACAATAATAATAAGATTAAATAAACTTGATATATTTTTCACGACAAATCATTTTTGAGATTTGCACTAAACTTCTAAATCCGAGAAAAATGACAACAATCCTCCTAATTATTAAATTATGAATGAAACGAGCACAATAAAAGTACAATTCACAATACATACCTTAAAGCTGCCACACTGCATCAAGCAAAACGGACAAGAAAATTCTTCGGTCACTGCATTTGAAAATAGATCTGAAATTTATCAGTGTTGTCAAAATCCTTAGCTTAAATTTTAAAAAAAAATGTTCTAAAAAGGAGTGACAAAAACAGACCACATAAAAAATGAAGAAATGTCAGCTGAAGATAGCAGCATCGTCAAAATCTTACTAGTCCAAATAGTAAGTTGATGCAATTCGGCACTCAAAAACTTTCACCCAAAAACAAATGATAAAATGCTGACAACTAGCTTTATAGCTCATAAAAACAATAGTATGGAACAGCAAGATGCAATGTTCAACCTAGTTATAGATAATATGCTGTACCTTCAGTCTTTCGAAGCATGTTATAACGGTCCCTATAATTGAAAATCACAATTCCTGCTCTCAGCCTATAAAACAGAAAGCACCCCAATCATTTTCCATTACCACTCAATGCAGCAAAAAAATAATAAAACCATCAATAAACTAAGGCATAAAGCATATTTATATTAACTTCTTATTACATTACTTGTTATTCAGTAAAATTTGTACTACTAACTAGTTGGTACATGTAAACTTTGAAAAAGATACATGTTTAGATTGCTAAAACTAAACTAGAAATCAATCCACCAGCCATAAACAATGAACAACACAGGCTGTGCATTTTAAAATTTTGATCCAATCAAAGGCAAAAAAACAACGGCCGCAAGGAACCAGCACCTCTTGCTAGTTATGGTGCTGACCTTTCAAACGTTGCATGCTTATAATGCATATTAAGAAATAACAAATGTAAAAATTCCCAAAGAAAAACATCAAGCTTGCTAATTGTTATAACAATTCGGACAAAATAGTCAGAATGTTGGGAAAAAAATTACTAGTGTCTCCTTTTGGACTTGAGACAATATGCAGAAAGCAGCTTTGAATTTTCTAAATTGGTCATTTAATCTTTCATTGTTACCATGGATGTAATGCTAAACTAGTTATGAGCTTGTTTGACTAAACTTCTCTCTAAACACTTTTAGGAGAGGAAAATAGAAAGAAAAAATGAAATAAGTTTCTCCATAAGTTAAAATTAACTTAAGCACTCGCTTATTTGTAAAAGCTATCTTCAATTAGCTTCTCCAAAATCTTACTTAAAACTTATGAATAAGCTAGTTTTAGCTTATTGAGAAGCTTATTTCAATAATTCTTCCTATTTTTTCCTCTTATAAGTGTTTTTAAAGAAGTTTATCCAAACAAATCCTAAATTATATAGAAATAGAAATATATTATAATGCAAAATAGTCGAATATCTTTTTTTTTCCCCTTCCTGATCTTCAAGAATTTCTTCAATGAGGCATATATTTTATAGTGCCTATCACCTCAAGACTTAAATACATGTCTCCTTAAGGAATTAATAAAGACAAATATCTAAAGGCGGTCAGTCTTTTTTTGGGTATTCTAAGAAGGTGAGTCTTTATCTGATACGTAAATGGACTGGTTACTCTTTTGAACTGAAGAATTATATTTTTACTTCTTTTCCTTTGTTGTCTTTGTTTCTTTTGCGGAAAGAATCCAGGTCCTCAAAATTTAATTTTTTTATTATCAACAAATTATCCTTTTACCAAAAAGGAAAGACATAGATGTGGTGAATAAACTAATCCATGAATAATTAATATCCAACAGCAGAACTACTTAAAGTACCTTGAGCAAACAAATTAGCAACATGGAAACGGTACATAGAGTAGAGTAGTTTAACCAATGGAGTCATGAAACTAAAACTTAATGAAATGATACCTATATACAGTAATTGGAAGGAATATTTACCTCTTTTTACGCCTTGCCCTAATTTTATAACGCAAACTTCGCCTAAGAAAAGAAGGCTGCAAAATAAATCAATTATAAAGCATAATCAAGCAACCTTCAGATAATTTTCTGAAAACAAATGGAGGCATCTACATTAATTTTAAGAACAACTTTCAGATGTGGAGTAGGTGTGTCCAACAACAAATATAAGACCATTTTACATGTACATCCGTATCTCCCCTGGATAATTAATTGGATTCTTAGCAATCTCAGCTCACATCAATTGTTATAACAGTTAATCAGAGCCTGTAAATTGCAGTTTTCAACATGCAAAAACATAAAAGAAAATAAATACAGACACGCACGAGATAGTAAACCGTTTTGGCCTTAATTGGAACATTCTAATTCTAATTATACAAATAGGAGAGTGAACTAAAGATTTGACAAGTCACGACAGCACAAGTTCAATACATCAAGAAAAAATGCATTTACTATCTTACATTTTGAAGAGCACGGCGGTAGAGAATATTGTACAGTTCAACAGGCTTGCAATAAATCAAAAGGCTCTCGTCGGCGCCAATTTCTTCTTCACCGGAATGGTGCACCGGAGAATTTTGCCGGCACATGTCCGTCCTTAGCAAATTTTAACCTGCACAACACGAGACCCACCATACACAGATACGGTTGCAATCTCAAACGCTTAGATCAAACGAACCCATACACTAAAGCTTATAACAAAGGTTATTGAAGCTATAGTTTGAAAGTGAAATGAAGAGAGAGAGAGAGAGAGAGAGAGAGAGAGAGAG